GTTTTCCACTTGTTGCTCTTCCTCTTCCCCTTCTGGTACCCCTATAATTCAGATGTTGGAACTGTTAAAGATGTCCTGGAGGTTCCTAAGCCTCTCCTTATTTTTTTGAATTCTTGTTTCTTCATTCTTTTCTGTTGGGTTGTTTCTTCTTTCCTTATGGTCCACTTCCTTGATTTGAGTCCCAGTTTTCTTCCCATCACTATTGGTTTCCTGTGCATTTTCCTTCATTTCACATAGTGTAGCCTTCATTTTTTCATCTAATTTGTGACTAAAATCAACTAGTTCTGTGAGCATCATGATCATCAGTGTTTTGAACATCTGATAGGTTGGTTATCTCTTGGTAGCTTAAAAGTATTAGCTCTGGGTTTTGATTTGTTCTTCTGTTTGAGAAATATTTTTTTTTTGGTCAGGTTGTTCTTGTTATGTAGTGAGGGGTGGAGCCTTAGGTGTTCACCAGAGTGGGGCAACCCAGTAGCTGGGTTGTGATGCTGTATGTGGGGGCGGGGTCAGAGAGGGAGCAGTGGTGCTTGCTCTGTTGTCTCTTGAATTTCAGTCCCTTCTGCTGCTTCCCACAAGCAAATTGGGCCCTTCTGATGCTGATTCCTGGGTGGGTGGGTTCGAGGACCCTGTGGGTCTCTCCAACAAATTCTCCTATGAGGCTTGGAGTCTCTCCCAGCCCCTTTTCAATAGGTTCTTTTAGGCTTTATTTTCTGTTGCTGGGGCCCTGGGATGCGCAGTCTGTCTCACTGCCCATTTTTGCCTAGTTTATCTGTGTGCGAATGTGGGAACATGGTCAGCCCTGCATTACCTGTGCTCCTAGGTTCGCGTTTTCCTGCTGCAACCTGTCCCTGCTGGCTGCTGACTCCACCCCTATTACCAGTGTGGGTGAATAGTTGTTGGACCTTTGTACAGTTCAGTTTTCTGTCTGTTCTGGTTGTTTTTATTTCTAAATCTTTGTTGCCCTTAATTTTGGTTGCGTGATGTGGTATAGTGTTTCCACCTATGACTCCATCTTGGCCAGGAGTCACACTTGATTTCTTTTATGTAACATCAGTAGTCCATAAGCAGGGCCTACCTTCATGGTGTGAAATTGGTTAGGCATATCAAATCTCATTATTTTTAAAGCTGTTGGTTTTTGGACAAGGTAAGAAAGAATTCAATTAAATGCCAAATCATAAATTGGAACCTCTCTTTGAAATATTACCTAACTATAGGATAAGTGCTTGGGAAGTATGAGATTTGTGAATTACTTAAATGCTTAAAAGTAAAATTCCTTGAACTTATGCAAGACATCTAAACTATCAGAAACAGTCTTGTCAGTTTTATTTGGTGTACTAAGTAGAATTTTTAAGGGCAAAACCACAATTAAGTCTTTCTCAGGTATTATTTGTTTCTTTTTTATTCATGAGACTTATCATGGCCATGGAGAAGTGTGTTTTTTAAATTACAATGCATGCCTGGTTATATTTTTGCCCTGTCTTTTTTTGTCTTTGAAAACATTCTTTTTAAAAAAATGCTGACCTTTATATATCATGTCTTGTCTGCTTATCTACATAGTCCCTACTTATGGAAGAGAGAATGTGTGATACATTTTTGTTTCTGTTTTATTGAAATATTTGAAACACATAGAAAAGTACAGAAACCAGTATCATGCTAAAAACCACCACTTAGCTATGTAATACCTTAATATTTTGCCATTTTTCTTTCAGATCCTTAACAAAATATTAGATTTAGGTACAGCTACTACTTTATCCTTCCCCAGTTATATTCCTTTCCCTTCCTTTCCTGAGATAACTATCCCAAATTTGGTGTTTATCATTCCCTTGAATATGATCATGTTTTCTACATATATAGACACACATACATATGTAGACACACATATAATTCCCTTGAATATGATCATGTTTTTCTACATATGTAGACACACATATGTATATTTATATGTATATAAATGTACATGGTATTGTCTTATGTGCTTTTGAAATATATTACATAGTATTGTACTTTAGTTTACATTTTTGTTTAATGTCATGCTTTTCAGATTAACCTGCTCTAGTACTTCCCATTATAAAAACACAATAAAACCAAACATTATTTATTTCCATTCCATATCCCTTTTCAACCACCAGCTATTTCTCTGCTCCATATCAAAATATAAGTTTCTTTAAGTGTTGTGTGTACTTGTTTCCTTTCACTCTCTCTTGAACCCACAGTAATCAACCTTTTCTTCACCCCTCCAAGCAAACCACTCCTATCAATGTGTTCAGTAATGTCTGTGTTACCACATCAAGTTCTCATTTTTCAATTCTTCAGGGTAGGACTTCCTCAGTGCCACAGATGGGAGCATCTGACACATTGTATTAGTCCTTTCTTCATACAATGACCTTTTTATTTTACATTCTAGGTTACTGTATCTTCCTGGATTCCTCTATGTTATCACCACTCCTTACTGCTTTTGCTGGATCTTCCTTACTTGTATTTTGAAATAAATTGAAAAAAAATTAGAGAATGAAAGTAAACATTTTCTTCAACTCCAAATTTTCTGTCAGTAATAATGGATATATACAGACTGTGTGTGTGTGTGTGTGTGTGTGTATGTGTATGAATTTCATTGGTGAAAACAATGTCTCATTTTAAATTGTATTTATTTTTATTAATGATTTTTATTTCTTTTATCTGCATTCCTTGTTTATATTATTGCTCAGCTTTACAATAGTGTTTTATTATTTATTTATTGTATGTGTATAAGTTAAAATTATTAGCCCTCTGTTCTCTGTCATGTAGATGATGACTGTTTTCTTCTACTTTATCAAATGCCATTTGAGTTTGCAGTCTTTTTGAAGTACAGAATTATAACTTTTTGTATAATCAGACTTAACAGCTCTTTTTTAAAAAATTTAATTATTGTTCAAATACAGTTTTCTGTTTTTTACTCCCACCCCAGCCTACCCCCCAGTGCTCCCCACCTCCCTCCCATTTCTACCCCCCTTAGTTGTTGTCCCTGTATCCTTTATACTAGTTCCTGTAAATACTTCCCCTTTTTCCCCTGAAATTCCCTCCCCTCTCCCCTCTGGTCACTTTCCCCGTGTTGGCTATTGCCCCTCTTTGACCCTGCCTCCACATACAGCATCACAACCCAGGGACCTGGGTGGCCCCGCCCTGGTGAACATCTAAGGCTCTCCTCCTCATATGTAACAGGCGTGAACACACTAAAACATGGCTCAAGAAGAACTCAAAGCCCCAGAGCTGATAACTCTAAGCAACCAATAAATAGCCAACCTATCAGATGCACAGTTCAAAACACTGGTGATCAAGAATGCTCACAGAACTGGTTGATTTTAGTCACAAATTAGAGGAACAGATGAAGGCTAAACTAATTGAAATGAAGGGAAATGCACAGGATACCAATAGTGATGGGAAGAAAACTGGGACTCAAATCAATGAAGTGGACCATAAGGAAGAAAAAATGACCAAACAGAAAAATATGAAGAAGCAAGAATTCAAAAAAATGAGGAGAGGCTTAGGAACCTCCAGGGCATCTTTAAATGCTCCAACATCCAAATTATAGGGGTACCAGAAGGGAAGAGGAAGAGAAACTGGAAAATTTATTTGAACAAATAATAAAGGAGAACTTCCCCAATCCGGCAGAGGCAATAAACTTCCAAGAAATCCAGGAAGCTCAGAGAGTCCCAAAGAAATTGAACCCAAGAAGGAACACACCAAGGTATATCATGATTACATCAGCTAAGATTAAAATGAAGGAGAGAATTCTAGAAGCAGCAAGAGATAAGGGGACAGTCACCTACAAAGGAGTTCCCATCAGACTATCAGCTGATTTCTCCAAAGAGACCTTACAGGCAAGAAGGGGCTGGAAAGAAGTATTCCAAGTCATGAAATCCAAAGACCTACAACCAAGATTGCTCTATCTGGCAAAGCTATCACTTAGAATGGAAGGACAGATAAAGTGCTTCTCAGATAAGACCAAATTCAAGGAGTTCATCATCACCAAGCCCTTATTCTATGAAATGTTAAAGGGATTTATCTAAGAAAAAGAAGATAAAAAAGATGAACAGTGAAAGGATGGCAAACTCATAGTTACTAACAACCACACCTAAGACAAAAGCATAGTAAGCAGACAGCCAGATCAGGAGCAGAACCATAGAAATGAAGATCACATGGAGGGTTAGCAACAGGGGAGTGGGAGGAGGAGAAAGCAGGAGAAGATACAGAAAATAAGTAGCATAAATGGTAGGTAGAAAATAGATTTGGGGGAGGGCAAGAATAGTAGGGGAAATATAGAATCTAAAGAACTTGAGACACATGGTAATAAATTAAAGGGGGGAATGGTGGGGGAGGGTGTGTGTAGGGTGGAGGGGAATGAAGGGGGGAAATAGAACAACTCTAATGGCATAATCAATAAAATACATTAAAAAAGATTTTATTTATTTATTTTAGAGAGGGGGGATGGGAGAAGAAAGAGTGGGAGAGTAACATCAAGGTGTGAAACATCAATTATCAGTTGCTTGCCTCTTGCAAGCACCCCAACTGGGACCGTGGCCCACAACCCAGGCATGTGCCCTGACAGGGAATTGAACCAGCAACTTTTGGGTTTGCAGGATAGTGATCAACCCACTGAGCCATGGTAACTAGGGTCCCAATTATTTTTAATCATCTTCTTTCCTTTTTTGAAGTCCACCTTTAATATAGAGTCATTCCCTGACATGCTTGAGTTCCCTGTAAGTTCTTGAAAGATTTTATTTTTGTTTTACTTTTTAAACCACTGAAGTATGATTATCCTCATCCATATTGATTCTTTAAAAAAGATAATTACTGACTTTGTAGCTATTAAATAAATTAGCTGCATCTTCTTGGTCTGGGCAGCGCTTGAAACAGTTGAATCCCCTCCAACCATTCTTCTGCACCATGCTTCTTCCTTAGCTTTTATCTCACAATTTTCTTAATTTCCCTCATACCTATTATCTCTCTTTTTTCTTTTATAGGTTGTTTTGCTGTTTCTTGTACAACATTGTTCTTTGGAATTCCACTTTACCCATGGTAAATACACTCCTGAGTATTATTTCCCAATCTCATCACTTCAGCTGTTACTTAACTGGCTACATATTCCTATATATTCATTTCTAGTTCCAATCTAAATCTAGGTCTATATATCTAGTTTTCTATTAGTTACTGTACATTGTGTTTTATGGTACTTTATTATGTCTATACCAAACCATTCTTCTCCTTGCTTTCGATATTTTTCCTTCTTTTCTGTACCCTATGTCACTTGACATCATCACCATTTCCTGCAGTTACATAAATAGATTTTGTCTTTGAGGACTTCTTTTCCTTTTGATATCTGTCAGTGGTCTTCTCCCTGGCTATCCCCATGGCCCTTGTCTCTCCCCATTTTTATTTATGTCTTGCCTGTGGAAGTAGTTTCTTAACTGGTCTCTGTACTTCTAGTCTCTCTCTCTTCCCCTCTCCATATTGCAGACAGTGTTAATTTTCTAATACATATAAAATATTTAGTTTTAGTTAAATCCTTCACACATTGATTGCCTGAGTTTACTTCTTCTCCTTTCCTAACTCTGTTAAAATGGTAATAAAGAAATAGAAATATTGATAAGGACAAAGACAACAGGAATGAAAACACTGACACATGTAAGGTTGAAACTATTTTTCCTTAGAGCAAAAGAAGTTACAACTTCACTATCTCTCCCTACATGAACATTTGAGAGAAACTAATTCTTCCCATAGAACTCTTAATGTTTCAATACTTGGGAGCGCCTGATCTCGGAAAGGCAGGAATGAGTCATGAGAATGAAAGTATTGTCTGTTTTTTTGAAAGTCTTCATAAGTTGCTAGAGTCCCATGTCTTGTCACCCACACTCTGCACCTTAGAAGACTAGAGGTTTCTTATCTGGAGAATTTGGGAGTGTCCTAAACTCAGGTGCAGGAGGTGGATTGGTTGAAAAAATGGCATTAAGTGAAAGTTTGCATATCTGGTTTTGGGACCTATATGATCTACCCTGGGTGCAGTTGCTTGAAAGGGGCAAGAATTATTTGTTTTCATATTCTCAGAATCCTAATAGTAATATTGATATAGTTGGGTTTTTTCTTGGCACATTTTGTAAAATTCTGAAGTCTAAATAAAATTAAAATTTCTCAACATCTCTCAATTCTCTCAACACTTAAGCGTTTTTAGGAAAGGTAAGTCAAGGTTGGTTGATTTTCAGATGCTTAAGTTTTAAAAAATATTTGTTTAGGCTGCTCAATTTTTTAAATTATGTTAGGATTATATGCATAAACTAGAATTATGCCAATAAAATAAATGCTACATTGTCATTTCATTTGTTTCATTTTTAGTTATGAAGATCCAATAGAGTGTTTTGTTCCCTTCCACTTCTTTAGATTTTGCCCCTAAATTAAGGGGCAGGAAGAGGACAAAGAACAATAAAGAAAATCTTTAAAACAATGCTTACCCAAGGATATGTTTATTGATTTTAGAGAGAGAGGAAAGGGTGAGGGGTAGAGAATGCGAGAGAGAAAAAGAGAGAGAGAGAGAGAGAAAGAGAAACATTGATTGGTTGCTTCTTGTATGCACCCCCACTGGGAATCAAACCTGCAACCTTAGGTATGTGCCTTGACTGGGGATCAAACCTGCAGCCATTTGATGTGTGGAGCAACACTCCAATCAACCAAGACACATGGCCAGGCAAAAACCTTTTTTTCTCCTAGCTTAATTATTTTAGGTTTTCACATAGTTTTATAACAAACATTATTATATGAACAAAGTAAAATTGCATCTTCTGAATACAATACATTGATTTTTAAATATACATTTTTCTTGCAAATGTTTTTGAAATTAATAGACTACATTATATATACTCTACATCTCCAACACAAAACACTCATATTACTAAAAACCAGTGTATTAAAGTTCAGTTTATTACCAATTTACCTGCTCCTTTCCAATTAAAAAAACAAAACAAAACAGGTACAACCAAAACAGATATTCAGTGCACATCAGGAAAACACTTTTACCCCCACTACCTATTTTATGTCTTTAGATTTAAAAATGTTATACCTTTCTAGTTATAGTTTTAACCACTTCTAAAATTGTGCGCCCTGCTTATGGGCTTCTCAGGCCTTTAGTCCCTCTGGTAACATGGGAATTAGTCCTGTCTGTATCTACTTGGCAAATGTTTGCCTCAGCTCTTCACTTTATATTCTCTTATCTAACCCAATTTCACACAGACTCCTCAGTTTTTCTGACTCTTTTTTAATTCTGTATACTTGGTTGTTTTTCCATGGGTAATTGTTAGCTAATGATTTCACATGAAACTTAGTCCATACTATTTAATGATTCAGTGGTCTCAATAGTATGGCATTTTGTAGATATTTTGACTGTTGCAGATTTCTTAATTTCCTTTTTTCTTACTTTTCTAAGTTATCATATGGATATTAGGTATATGGACATATATTTTGTATTTCTATCACAAAATGTATATAATACTAAAAAGGTAGCATAATTTGAAAATTCTAATATTCACTTTTGTAGTAAATATTGACTTCCTTTTCCTCCAAAACAGGTCCTTACCCAATTTGTAGAGATAATGGATCATCTGCATCTAGGGGAATCAGTTGCTGCAGTGCTCCGTAACAGGTATATTTCTGGAAACAATTTACCTTATAAGTTACATAATGTATTTCTTGCCTGTTAATATAGTTAACATAGTTGCTACTCATTAAGTATTTGTTAAATACCTGGCATGAAACAAAAGTATTTGCTATATGAATAAAAGAATGATTGAGTGACAAAAAACCTGAATGAAGACCATGTTATCATGTGTTCTGAGCTAATGAAAAAGTAAAAATATAATTAATAGTCATAATTAGTATAAATTGTGAACACATAGAATTCACTCAGTGGAATCATTGACTGGAATTTTAGTTTTAAAACATATCAATGAATGAATACTGGTATCCATTACTTAAGAATAGATATCTCAACAAGTAGTTTTAATAGTATTGTTCTATGATTGTACATTTCTGTTATATAAATACCCAATTAGTCTAGCACTATGCTCTATACCTGAAAATAATATAAAATTATATTTAATGTCAACTGTAAATGAAAAACACAATTAAAAAATATCCAATTAAAACTTTTCCAGGGAGTCTTCAGAAACTCAGAGCTTCCTCTGACAATTTAGAATTTTAAATCATGGTTCAAATAAACATAGCCTTTGCTCCTTAGCTATGGAAGAGTATAGAAGAGTAAACTATTATTCCCAATAGTTTAATTGTATGGTTTGGGTGAAGCATTTGACATAATGTGCTGGAATTGACTATATCATGGCTCTGACACTTACTAGTGGTATAGTCTTGGGCAAATTTCTTAATTGCTCTGGGCCTTAAGTTCCTCATCTATGAAATGGGGCTAATAATACCTACATCTAAGGGTTGTTTTGAGATTAAAAAGTGTCTATGGTGTGTGTGTTGGAGCGAAGGAGAGAGGGACAGAGAGAGAGAGAGAGAGAGAGAGAGGCTGGCAAATAATACATTATATTTGTGCTAGTATTGAAATTAAAATGTATTTTTAAATATTTTGAAAATACAATAATTGTATTTTTGACATCTAAGGTACTTTAAAATACAGGTATTATTTAGAAGAATATGAAAAGGAGAAAGGTTGAAGTAGGAAGTGGACATATATAAAATTACATATCATATGAAGGGTGACTGTTGGAAGGTATTATATGATCTGGGCAAGTGGTTGTAAGGTAGGCTTGCTCGCTCAGAGACAGAGAAAACAAGAAAATCATAGCAGAAATAATGTGTGGGCATGTTGGGTGAAAAGGTTGAGGGGAATAGTACTTGGGAGACATTTAATTCATAATGGAAAATTGAGTATGCAGAGTTCAAGCACTTCTGAATAGGAGATTCTATAATACACCTTCGGAAGAGGAAATGGTAGGAGGGCAGGGTCAAGTTAATAACTAAGGTGGTTATAGCATAGTTGAATTTGTTTTTTACTATTTTTATTGAGTTATAATTACATACAGTAAAATAAACATTTAAATATACAACTTGATAATTTTTTATACACCTATGTATCCAAATAACTACAATCCAGTTCAACATGTAAAACAATCCCATCCCACCAGAGAATTCCCTTGTGCCCTTTCCACTCCATATCCCCTCCACTCCTACTAAGGGAACCAGTATTCTAACTAACTTATCTTGGATTAGTTTGCTTCTTCTTAAACTTTATATAAATTAAGTCAGACACTGTGTATTCTTTGGTGTATGGCTTCTTTTCAAATTAATGTTTTCGAAGCTATCACTTCTGTGGTATCAGTTGTTTCTTCTTTTTATTACTATTTAGTATTCCACTGTTTAAATGCACCACAATTTATTTATCCATTTCCTTATAGATAGTCATTTAAGTTGCATCTATTATTTGGCTATTGTGAATAAAGCTTTTATTGACATTTTTTACAAACCTTTTTCTGTCCATTTATACTCACTTCATTTTCATATATAGGGCCTAGCACAAATAATGCAGCTTTTTAATCTCACTTTGCATTTTCATCATATGTAATGGAGTATGTTTTCATATGCATCTGTATATCTTTTAAAAGTACCTGTTTAAGCCTTTAACAGTATGGTAATTACCACAGGGAAAGGGGATGGGGAAGGTAGAGGAGGATAAAGGGGGGATAAATGGTGATGGAAGGAGACTTGACTTGGGGTAGTGAACACACAATGAAATATACAGATGCTGTATTATAGAATTATACACCTGAACCTATACAGTTTTATTGACCAATGTCACCCTAGTAAATTCAATGAAAAAGAAAAATATGGACCTGTGTACCCCAATGTTCATAGCAGCACAATTTACAATACCCAAGAGTTGGAAGCAACCTAGGTGCCCATCAGTAAATGAATTGATCCAAAAACTATGGTACATATACACAATAGAATTCTATGCAGCAGAGAGAAAGAAGGAACTACTACCCTTTGCAGCAACATGGATGGAACTGGAAAGCATTATGCTGAGTGAAATAAGCCAGGTGTTGAAAGACAAATACCATATGATCTCACCTTTAACAGGAAGCTAAACAACAAAACAAACAAACAAGCAAAATATAACCAAAGACACTGAATTAGAGAATAGGGGGACAGCGACCAGAGGGGAGAGGGAAGGGAATTTCAGGGGAAAAGGGGAGGGATTTAGAGGAGCTAGTATAAAGGACACAGGGACAACAGCTAAGGGGGGTGGAAATGGGAGGGATATGGGGAGCATGGGGGGTGGGCTGGGATGGGAGTAAAAAACAGAAAACTGTACTCGAAAACTAATTAAATAAAAAAAAATGGGTTGTAGTTCTGGCCAACATGGAGGCATAGGTAGAAACCCTTCACTTCCTCACCCAAACAAAAGGAAGATAACAACCAATCTAAAATCAATACACAGCCAGAAGTGTCAGAAAATCAAACATCATGGAACTGCAACAACCAAGGAATTAAAGAAACAGTCAACCAGACTGGTAGGAGGGAGACGAGGGAAACAGGGCAGATGGGTGGATGGAGAGAACCTGCAGCAAGGTGTTAGACCACAAGGGCAGGGCTGGCTGAAAGGACCCTTGGTAAGGCAGAGCTAACTGTGGGCTGTGAAAGAAACTCCCAGTCTCACATGAGAGTTTGTTGGAAAGTGGGGCTAGAGCCAAGAAAGCAGGCTGCGTTGTTCCTTCTCTGACCCCTCCCCCGTATACAGTACCAAAAATGCCCTGCACTGGTGAACACCTAAGCCCCACCTCCTTACAACTTACCAGGTGCACCAAGACAAAGAAATATGGCCCAGATGAAAGAAGAGAGCAAAACCTCAGAAAGAGAGCTAAGCGTTGAGGAGATAGCCAACCCTATCTGATGGAGAGCTCAAAGCCCTGGTAATCAAACTGCTCACAGACCTGATTGAGCTTGGTTGAAAAATGAAGGAAGAAATGAAGGCTACCCAAAATGAAATAGAGCAAAATATTCAGGGAACCAACAGTGACAGGAAATAAACCAGGACTCAAATCAATGATTTGGGACAAAAGGAAGAAATAAACATCCAGCTGGAACAAAATGCAGAAACAAGAATTTTAAAAAATGAAGAGAGGCTTAGGAACCTCTGGGACAATTTTAAACATTCCAATATCCAAATTACAGGGGTGCCAGAAGGAGAACAACAGCAAGAAACTGAAAATGTATATGAACAAATATCGAAGGAAAACTTCTCCAATCTGGCCCAGGAAGTAGACTTCCAGGAAGTCCAGAAAGCTCAGAGAGTCCCACAGAGGTTGGACACAGGGAAGCGCACACCAAGGCGCATCATCATTATGTTACCCAAGATTAAAGATAAAGAGAGAATCTTAAAAAAAACAAACAAACCAGAGTTTGTTTATTTATTTTTAGAGAGACGGGAAGGAAAGGAGAAAGAGGGAGAGAAATGCCAACTGTGGTTGCCTCTCATGTGCCCCCTGCTGGGGACCTGGCCTGCAACCTAGGCATGTGCCCTGACTGGGAATGAACCATGACCCCCTGGTTTTCAGGCCCATGCTTAATTAATCCACCGAGCTACACCAGTGAGGGCTAAAGAGAGAATCTTAAAAGCAGCAAGAGGAAAGGAGACAAGTTATCTACAAAGGAGTTCCCATAAGACTATCAGCTGATTTCTCAAAACAAACCTTGCAGGCAAAAGGGGGCTGGAAAGAAGTATTCCAAGTTATGAAAGGCAAGGACCTACATCCAAGATTGCTCTATCCAGCAAAGCTTTCATTTAGAATGGAAGGCAGATAAAGTGCTTCTCAGATAAGATCAAGTTCAAGGAGGTCATCATCACCAAGCCTTTATTCTATGAAATGTTAAAGGGACTTATCTAAGAAAAAGAAGATAAAAAAATATGAACAGTAAAATGATAACAAACTTACAACTATCAACAACTGAACCTAAAAAATGAAAAAAAAACAGTGAAAATAAAAACTAAGCAAACAACTAGAACAGGAACAGATTCAGAGAAATGGACATCACAGGAAGGGTTTTCAGCAGGGAGGTGGAAGGAGGAGAATGGGGGAAAAGTTACAGAAAATGAGAAGCATAAATGGTAGGTACAAAATAGAAAATGGGAGGTTAAGAATAGTATGGGAAATGGAGAAGCCAAAGAACTTACATGAACAACCCATAGACATCAACTAAGAGGGGAGATGCTGGAGGGCTGGGGAATGTGGGGTGGAAGAAGGGGGACAAATCGGGAAAATTGGGAAAACTGCAATAGCATAATCAATAAAATATACTTTAAAAATAAAAAATGATAAAATAGGGGCTGTTTTCTTTTGGAGTTTTGGCAGTTTTTAAATTTATTATAGATATTTTGATGTATGTTATGAATATTTTCTTCCAATATGTAGCTTTCCATCCCCTCTTTTTGTGAGAAGTCCATTTGATGAAACTTAATTTATCATATTTTCTTTTATGCTCATCTTTTTTTGCATCTGGTCTAATAAATCTTTGCCCTGACAAATTTCAGGATTTCTTCTGGAAGTTTTATGGTTTTAGCTTTTATTTTTTTATTTAATTATTGTTCAAGTACAGTTCTCTTTCATTTACTCCCATCCCAGC